TAAACTAACATTTATAGTCAATCAGAATGTTCTTTAGTGTCAGAGAAAAAAAGTAAAATTTTGTCTGGAAATCAGGGAAAAAGAAAATTAAATTTTTGTAGCAACTTTGAAGAAGCCAAAATGTGTGATTGTATAAATGACATTTGATGTTTACAAATGAAAACTGTGTGACTGTAAAATAAAAATTGAAGATACGGCTGAAAATCAAGAAGAGATTTTCTCGTTCAACTGACAATAGGTATTAACATAAGAAAACCGTCGAGAGAAGATCGTGCGATGAGATGTTTATCTAGAACATTATCAGGTGCCTTGCGAAAGAAGCGAAGGAGGGAAAAAGCACACGTGTGTACCATTATCTGTTCGTGCATAACTGTACGAGCGAATGCTCGCAGAATTCAAGTTGCTGCAGTCGCTACTACACGTGAAGAGTGCAAGATAGTGTAAACACATATACACGTAGTAGTCGGACAGCCGACCGACCAACCAGCCATACCGCATTCCAGTCGGCTCTCAGCCTGGCAATATAATGAAGTCAGTCCCAACGTTTCTAAGCTTCGGTAATATCATGTGCCAGTAGGGCGTGCAGTAGAGATAATATTGGTGATGTATGCTAACAAGGCTTTCCAACCGTAAGGTTTTTTTTTCCTCCTCTCTTCCTTTTTTTCCCTTTATGCGTCCCCTTCCGCATTTACGTCCGTTTTTTAAATGATTTACCGCAAAATGGTTCGGCTCTCGGGTCGAGCCGTCTCGCGTTGAAAAAAAATACGCCCGCGGAGAGTTTTAATCCCCTAAAGGATCGCGCGAAAAGTGTTTTCACGCGTCTCTCGATTTAGTGACTCTCCACATTGCGCGAATTTACGCAGGCATTTTTTCCCAACCATTGTCATGCTAAATAGGGGGAAAGAGAGAGAGAGAGAGAGTTCAGATGCCTAGTCAGATTTCAGGAAAAGTAATGCTTTCCGGCCAGTGCGCATCGGGGGAATTAAAAACTAGATTTTAAAAATATATCTCTTAAATCTTTTATCCAAATTATGTTTTTATATTACTTATAATACGAAAAGAAAAAGAAAATATTTACATTCGAAAAGAGATGAAAATTTATAAATATTACTCATTCAATATGAAAAGCTACATTGTATTTTAAATTGATTTTAAACACGAACTTTCGTCACGGCTCTGAGACAGTAGTGGGGGAACTGCGCACCACTTACCCCCACCATTTTCTCAACCGCCGAATCGACAACTTTCATTTAAACTTTAAAACCCAATTAAATTCTAAAACAAACAAAATTTTTCAAAAAAAGAAATATTTTCTTTTAATTTTTCAAGTTTTGTTTAAAAAATCCAAAATTTAAATAATTAACAACAAGGGCGAACAGTTAAAAAAATGATAAATTTTCAATTAATTTCAATTTCAATTATTTCAAGTTCGATAAAAGCTTTTCGAAAATTCACAATTACTCATAATAGTGATAATAAATGACGAGTTAATAAATAATAAATACAGGAATTAAAAAACAAAAAAAAAACAATGAAATATTGAAGTATTGTAAAATAAATGATGGACGAGAAATGAGGATTTAAATTCATGGCGAATACATTATTTTCCGCATGAAAGCACTTATAGAAACAATTTGGGAGATTTTAAAATCCTGAACAATTCGGGTCTTTGTAAGCGTGTGTATATGCATATATTATAGAGTAAGAGAGAGAAAAAAAACTGTAATGTGACAGAAGTGGGCATGTTTTTAAAGCGGTATTTAATAACTGTATTTGACAGTGAAGCAGAAGCGCGATTACAAAGTAAAATTCACGATAAGCTCGTATTTTAAAAGGTAATGACGTGCGGGAAAACTGGCTGAAATTGGAATAACAGAGGCCCTCTCGCATAAAACTGATGACGCGACTGTCACCGTTCGCATCGTCATTCATTATAATCCTATTCAAATTTCTATAAACTTTGATAGCATCCTGCTAATTAAAAAATTGCAACGCTTTTTTTTGGAGTCATTTTTTTCTTTTTTTATTTATCAAAGGATGCGAAAGAATTTTAGAAAAAAAACTAGGTCAATAAGTAAATGTATCTAAAAAAACTAATGGAATCTAAAGTCGAGCAAAACGAGACGAAAAAAAATACTGAGAATATCGCATTACCCATTCATGAGTAGATAAAATGACAAAAAAAAAAATATGTCACATTCATTAAATCATAAATTTCGATTCTTTATTTTTTTGCAAAATATATTGTGTCTGCGCTATTAGAATTGAATGCGATATGTATTTTACTTCCTTGTATTGTATGACTTCGTGGAAAAAGGTAATGGATAAAACAATGTGTGATAAAGATAGACAACCCCCATGTGGGTTTGTAATTTCAAACCTACGTTTCTGCGAAAAACATTTCCACAACGAAATTGATGTTTATCTCACGTTCTTGATTGTAAAACTATAGATAAATAAAAATAAAATCTTTTTTTGTGTATTATTTTATTATTTTCTGTTGGGGAAAAATATTTTCCATTGAAACGATTTTATTTTTTTTTTAAATTCAAAACCATATTTTAATTGTTCAGTTTGAGTTTTTCAAGTTTCGATACATGATTCGAGAGATTCAATCTTCTGAAAATTCAATTACAAGTCAGATTAGTAATCAGTGACTCCGGAAAAACCACGAGTAACAATAAGTTACAACCAAATACAATCAATTTTCACAATATTTGCCATTTTGAATTTTTAAAAGGAACCTTGAATTAAATCATTGATTCCATTTACTCATGTATTGAAAACAAAAAAAATTATAAAGCATTTTTTAATTATTAGCTTATAAAGTAATTTTAGCCAGCATTTTAAAATTTTCTCAAAATACAATTTTTAATATTTTCATCTATCGAAAAAACGTTTTTTTTCAAAAAGAATACTTTGAAAATAATGTACTTTCCTGTTCATTTAAAATGCCACAAGTTCTTGCAAGTGATTTGTACTATTTTCTCTGTTTAGAAAGTACATTGCGCCTTAACTTACTCACAGTGATTAATGATGATTGGACAAAGAAACACTCGGAATGTGGTACTCTTTCTTTTTCATTTAATCGTTTAATAAACTTGACAGAAAAGAAAAATAGTATTTTTAAAATATTCATATCAAATTTTCAAAAAAATAAAAAGGAATTAAAAAAAAACGTAGGTAAAAAGTAGTGTAAACTGCTCCATTTATTTTCATTAATTTTTCAAGGGAGATTAAAAACTCAACATTGCTGAATTATTACTCTCAATTCATATATTATATTTTAAGTAGCATTATAGGTGCTGGATTAAAATTCTAGATAATCATCGGATTCTCACGTTTTAATGAAAATATATAGGAAAATTATACGTTGCTTTTAACATATCGAATAATTGCATCTAATCTCTTTTGAAAATGAATATGTATATGCATTTAATATAGTCACTTATCATTTATATAATATACGGATTAATAAAAAAGGTATATTTAAGGAACTCGAAATCTGTTAGTTTCTCTCTTTCTCTAATTGTTATATTTGAATAAACTTTTTTCAAGAAGAATATTAAATACTTTATACGTCAAAACGTATATATTTTTCAAAATCGATCGTACTTTTTATGTTCTTTTTTGCTAATTAAATTTTTATAGTCATTTAAGTTTGCGGAAAATTTTTATTTCGATATTTTTAGTTTCTTTGGAGATAATATCACTTTAGAATAAAAACATGGCTGAATGTTTTTTCGAATCTGATTTAATTTTTATTAAAAAGTAATTGAAGCTTTAATGAAATTGTATTAAAATTTATACAGTAAAATTTGTTCCGCAATTTATCACGTATTATGTATATAGCTATAAGTTATAAAAAATATTACATAACTTGATAAAATTTTCACGTAAATATTTTTGTTACATTACAGTTATAAAACAGTTACATAAGGAATAAATTGTTGTACAATTTATTTTTCTTTAATTAATTATTTGAAATTTACTATTCTTTATTGATCAGTTTTTGTTTAACTTCTTGGTAACAGAAAAGTTACAAAAATATTTTAGTTCTGTAGCATAAATACTTGTTAAGATAGTCACATTTTCATAGAATCTGTTTTGATTGTAACATTTTTACTAATATGTAATTATTTGTACTTATTATTATTATTATTTGTACTTGTAATTATTTAATAACTATTATTGAAATTAGAAATCTGTAACTTTTAGAAGTGGGCTACAGTTTTTTATAAATGATATGTATTGTAACAATTTCTGTTTGTCAAATGATTTTACATTGTCAGAAGGACTTGATTAATTTTAATTTATACAAATATTAAAATTAGAAAAGTTAACGACCATGGTTTGCAATTTTAATGTAAATTTAACTTGACATTCACATCAGCGTAATGTTACTGTTATATAACTGCTCTCTAAAGTTGAATTTGTAAAAATGTTACTGACTTTTTGCTTTTGAATTAGTAAATTTAATTTATTTTACTAATAAATAGTAATTTCTACTAACTTACTAGTAAACTTTACTAATTCTAAAGCAAAAATTCAGTCATACTAATTCAAATTAGTAAACATTTTTACTAATTCATATTTAGAGAGTGTGATAAATGTTTACGTAATGGTTATGCATCAGTTATGAACGTATTCTACTTGTAAAAACTTTATCACAATATTGTTACTTACTTTTTTCCATAGTTATAAAAATATAAAATTGTTAACTCTGCATCACATTAGTGGAATTTAGTTATGGAATATTTTAATTTCGTTACTGTTGTGTAATTGTTACAAAACTATTATAGAACAGAGGACTGGAGGCATTTATATTCACGTGTAAACAATTATTTGTTTAGACGTAGTTTTTGTAACTTTGCAACTTAGTTTAAAAACCTTTTTACGATTTCGGCATTAATTCCATAATTTTGTTTCCATCGAGTTTTTTTTCAGTTACGAGAAAGATTATTTAGAATTTCTATGAGAGAAAATATAGAATAGCGAACCTTTATGATGCCTGAGATGTGAATGGCCACAGCAAGGTTGTTCAAAATAAGCATGTCCAGGTTTATTTGCCATCACAGGCCCAAGTATTTGGGCCAAAGCAGCTGTGAGAACAGCTGCCTTAACCAACATCATTATAGCATCAGGCAATTCCTGTTTCTGCATTCTGCTTTTTAAATTTAACTTGCCAAAAAAAATAGTCTTCGTTTTTATTCTTTATTAAGAAATATTTAACACATAACTCCGGAAGTGAGGTGTACTTTTTTCGGAGTAGAAATATACTGAAGAACAGCGTGGGTCGAGTGGTTCTCAAAGGTGGCCTTGAGTCTCTGACCGCGGCGTGGTTGTTGCCCTCTTGCAACTCTCGCGCACTTAGACGGACATTCACCGAGGAGAGACGTAAAGTGCGTTTTGCCTGATGGTGTACCTTTCTTCAAAAGGTTCTCAAGTCTTGAAAAACTTCTTGAAACACGACCGCGTGTGTTAGTCTCCTCCCTTTTCCTCTCTCTCTCTCTTTCGCCTGGTCCACGGGACAAAGGAATTCCTCTTCCTTCTCTGGTATAAAACCCAAAGTACACAGGCAGGTAGCACCTTCTTTTTAAATAACAATAATATGAAACTCCAGAGAAAAATAAATCTGAACTTTATATTCAGAAATTTCACTTCACAACACTATTATTTTGTCACTAGGCACTGATAAAATTTCTATTTTCTTAAAATACAACTTCCGCTTATTGAAGACAACTGAAAAAACTCTTGTCAACTAAACAAACAGTAGACAGGGTTCGAGGTGATCACATCTGTTGTTAGAGGGAGCGAAACGTTTGATTATTAAAAGTATTATTAGTACTATTAGATCATGAATAAAACTGAACCTTTCACGACATTCGCGGCATTTTTTAATTTCCGATTGGAAATTAATAACAAAAGACACGCGGCGGCATTTGCAGGCGTCTAGTCGCGTGAAGAACATACAATATTATTGTGAAACTGAAAAACGAAAGTCCCGCGTCAGAGGCCGCGGCACTACTGGTCTGTGCCCTCGTTGCTTGTGAGTTGCCGCGTTCAAGTTGGAGTCGGCTGGAATCGGCGCGACTCGTGGCAACTCGGTGAAAACCGTACACCGCTCTCCTGTTTCTCTACTTCTCTACATATATTTGTAGGTATATATAGAATACTCTTGGTCCAATCCGGAATCTGAGTTCTACGCCGCTGCATGGCTAAAGTACCACCCTCGATGTGTCGTTTCTTTTTAACTTAAACTCTGCCGGAGGGCGCGAAGAATTTTACAAGCTTACATGATGATATCGCGGTACCGCAGGTGTCCAAACCATACCTCGAATGGAAATACTCTTTCTGAGATTATATTAGGTACTTTTGGTTTTCAAAGTTCTTTTCTTTTTATTTTTATATCACCTCGTTACTTTATGTGCGAGAAAAATAAATGTTTCTTTTAGAAAAATTTTTCCATTTTCTTTCAGGATGAATTTTTTGTCATAAGGAAACTGCAATCTTAAACTTAAATACCTGACAATAAACACTGCTTTTAAATTCTAAAAGTCTAATGTCAAATTTTTCAAAAACCCTCGAGTGATGATTTTTGGACAATTTCAATGATTTTTTAAGATAAGTGTCACCTTGGGGACACTTTTTTTTAAAGCAAAATTTCAGCTGTTTTTTCAAAGTCGTCTTAGTTTTATTTTCCTCAGTAAAATAAAAAAATTTTTTGCTAAAAAGTTAGCTAAGGAGATACACTTTCAGGGCATATATTATTAATTATGTTATATATAATACCGTTTAGGAATTACAGACGTTCAAAGGTGGGTGGCCACCTTGGGCCCCTTAACCCTATATATACTTTGAACATGGATAAAATCTATCGAACCATGGCTAATGAAAAAAGTATTTAAAAACTTGAAAATTTTTATTCTAACTGTGGTCAAAATCTTGGCCATGGCCAATGACGAAAATATTCTAAACGCACAAAATTTTTATATTTTGACTATGCCCAACAACTAGCGAATTATGGCCAATGAAAAAAATATTTAAAACCCTCAAAATTTATATATTTTTAACCATGAACAAAATCTAGCAAATCATATGTCCAATGACAAAAAAAGTTGACTATTTTTTTTATCCTGAACTACTTTTGCCTTTGGCAAGATTTAATCTTTTTGCGCAGTCGGCAATGGTTTGCTAAATTTTTAACTTAGCTAAGAATTAAAAAAATTCCATGTTTAAAAATATTCTTGTTTTTCTCATGATTTTCTATATTTTGGCCATAATTTTGGCAAAAGTAATAAGTTTTATGCAAAAACAGATAATTTACAAATAAAGCAGATACATTGGATTCGCCATTTGGATTTTTTAATGAATTTTATAAATCTTAGTTCAATAATGATGAACGCCCCTAGAAAGTAAAGAAGAAAAGTAAAAATCCTAAATAAATATATTAGAAATTTATTTAAACATTTCTCATTTTAATTCGCCATTTTGATTTTTAAAAATCCAATCTCAGATTTTGAAGTAATCCCATAAACACTAGGATAATAATTTAATGATTAATAGATAACATAGCATTTTTTACATTTCCTTATCCAGAATAAAAGCAACTCCTCTACTTATTTTTTGTTTTGAATTTGTAACTTTTCTTTTAAAAAGTTTATTCTCAAAGTTTTGTATATTCTTTTCAACAAAAATTTTCAACTTGAAGAATTAAAATGGGAGGGAAAGAGAGAGAGAAAGAAAGAGATCCAAGAGAAAACGTTACAATGCAACTTTTCACATTAGTTTTATTCTCAAACAAGATCATTTTACATTAAAAGAGGTTGTTGATCGCAATTTAAGTTTTTCGGTTCCCTTTCTCTGAATTTCGAGATATCTAATCTGCTGGTCGGCTTTTGATTACATTTTAAAAGACTAGAAAGCACACGAATCGAGAAAAGTTTCCAGACTTAAATTTCAAGTTCCTGAAATTAAACCCCGCCGTGAACGAGCACGTGAAAAAGAGATCATTTATCACTAAAAAAATCCTTAATTTTTAGTTTATTTCTCAATTGAAACCATTTGTTTTAATTCTTCAAACAGGAAATATATTTTTCTCCTGAAAATTAAGAATTAAAGATTCAAATTTCCTACTATATTTAGATATTGTAGATTAAACATTAAAGTTGCGAAGAAAATATAAGAAGTGCGAATCAGATGGAAATTTCTTCCGCATCATTGATGTTAATTGTCTGAAGCCTTAGGATCTTATAAGAATGTTCGTGAAACCGTATAAGATGATCATCGAAATCACGTCTTTCATATATGGAGTTAAACACTCTGCGCGAAAGTGGGCTTTGCATCAAAGCCGATTTCTAATGTAGCACCTCGTTACTTCCTGGAAAACAAGACGCGTTTGAGATAGGGGATGTGTTTATGAATAAGTCGATATGCTAATGCGAAAACCCTTCAAGTTAACGGAACATGACAAAGAAAGTTACACACTATTGTATCCAGGACCCGTGTAAACAAAACCCTCTTTGTGGAAGACTGATATTAACACACTTCTGAATTATTTCGAAAGACAATTCCTTTCGCTTCTTTACTTCTCTTAAAGTAATTATTGTTTTTACAATCACAATTTTCATTCATTTTCTCATTTAGATAGATTTATTTATTTGAATTTCTATCAATTTGAAATGGTCGCGGACAAAAGTCGCGTCAGTGAAATTCTTCGTGTCACACAAAAGCGTGCATTCCAAACTGAAGTACCTTCCGCGTCTGGAAGCACTTCTCGAAGACGAGTATATATACATATCGCACAATACATTTTAGAAACTTGAATCTTTGAGTTTGCGTGACAGACATGCACACGCGATATACTAGAAACTCAGCAAGGAATAAAATTGTAAATGTGAACCAAGAATAAACGTCCGTTCACCATCATCTATATATTTGTGTGTGTGTACACAAAACCTTCAATAATCGTCAAAAGAAATCCTCAATCTTCATATATACCATACAAAAGTCATTCTATCCAGACTTTTCTTATTTGCAATTGAAGTCTGATTCTCGATACTTTTTTTTTCTTTTTTGGGTGTACTCGAAAAACTCGAATGGGAACAAGAAGTAGCAATTGGAATTTGGAAAAAAATTGACACTTTTTTTCAAATTTCAACTGCTACTATACTTGTTCCCATTCGAGATGAACACATGAACCCAATGTGCCAGGAAGTTTGTTTTTGGCGAACTTATTTGCTAATAGGAAAATAGAAAGTATAGGAATTGAAATTTTAGTATAAATCGAATGACTAGAAATTTATTTAGTAAAAAAACATTTTTTGACTGAAACTTTTGAGTATGGTAATTATAATGGTAAAGTTTTGCCATTATCCCCATAAAAGATATTAAGTCGAACATAATGCCTTCATTTAACTTGTGGTTAGATATTTTCCCCAAGGTGCCAGAGATATCTCGCAGCTTCAAGAGAGGGTTTAGGGAGATTTTAAATTTTGTTATTTATAAATGCATTATAGTTTTCCTTTTAGTCATCCTTCTCTCTCATTGTGCAGGCCGATGGAAATGTTCGTGAAATTTGTTTCCCAGCCATTTTAGCTTCTCCAACAAAAGCGTTATTGAATTTAATTACATCTAAATATAATTATACCTCATCACAAGTGAAATTTTGAAAGTTGCATGCGCAATATATTTTGTTTTGTCACTGAAACTTGTACATGACCAACAATAATTGGATTTATAAAAAAATTTATAAAAAAGAAAATTCGGATGGAAAAAGTCGTATAAAAAATAGTATAAAAAATTAAAAAATAATATAAAAAGTAGTATAAAAAAGTACAAGTGTAGAAAAAAGTAAAAGTATAAAAAAATTAAAAAAGACTAGTGGAAAAATTATTTTTCAGAAAGAATTCAAGGTTTCAAAGTAAATCTATCATTTTATGAAGGTTTCGGTTGTCCTTTAGGTAAACTTCCTTTCAGGTTTCAAGTGATTTAAGGAAGTTTATAGCAAGCTCGAGTGTCTTCGGCATGTTTGAATGAGTTTGAAAACTTTTCATGAGCTTCAGAATGTTTCGCAAGTTTTCCAATGACTTTCAGTAGTTTTAAAAGGCTTCGGTTGACTTTGTGAGTTTCTAAATGGCTGCGGCGGGGGAAAAAATTTTTTTAAAATATTTTTTTTTGCTAATGCTTTGTATTGTAAACAAGAACTTTCACTTGTTAGGAAATAAACGTTTCTGGCATTTATTTCTCTCGGGTAATTTAATTGATTCACTTGATCTTCTCTTTGGTATTTTCTAAGAGACAGAAACTCGGAACTTGTCAGGTAAGTAAGACACTTTCGTCTTTTTCAATTCTTTGATGTCTTTGTTCAACTTCTATATACTGGAGGAGCGTTGTTATTGTTTCTTTTTTTTCTTCGCAGAAATCCGCTTACGTTCGATGCTGCATTTCACAAAGAGCAACTAGATTAAGGTGTCAAAGAAGACATTAAATTTACGAATAAGAAGAACAAGAAAGAGGGAAACCTCTCTTGCGCCTAAACTGAAAGCACACAAATTATAAATCACATTTCGTACGTGACTTTAAACGTTCCACGTCTGTTTCCTGGAAACATCAACTACAAGATTTTATCTGACACAGAAAACAGAAGGTGGAATCGATTTTCAAGAAAACTTGTACGCCTAACAAACCGTATACTTTTATCCACACGAGAGATCGCGTGCTTTAAAATACGTACCTCTTTCTCGAGAATAGAATATCTAACTTCATCATCGATAAGGATCCAAAGATTTCACGCCTGATGAAAATATCGAGAATTCCCGATTTTAAAGGATTTGTAGTGAATTTAGTAGTTATTTTTTGTGAAACTTTTTTCGGGGGCGAATTGTTCCTTGTCTGTCTTGGATAAGTGAGGACATGAGTGTTTGTCGTGAAGGGAAGAAAGGGTGAGTTGGTTGGAAGAAGATTGCAAAGGGGAACGGATGTTGTAATCATCAAAGTGACCTGAACCTCGCTTAGCGGCACTCGCCTCGATCGGAGCCAAT